TATACTAGAACATTCCAACGCTGGTCAACCCTGCTTTCGGACTGGTTCATATCTCGTTATCCAGCCCCGTCCGTGGTTATTACGTGCACTGGCAGACTAGATACATGTAGAGTAAATTGGGCACATGGCATTTCGGTCGCCTATAAACCAGGGGCCTCGTCCGCCTCGATCATACCCCCCCTTGGCAGCACACAAAGTCATTACCTCCAGGACAAACGGGGTCTTGTAGAGCAATTCATATTAGCGTATGCATCAAATCAATTCCCAGGGCCACAATCTTACCCGACAGCACGGTACCCGGGCAGCTGGCCCTCCACATACAGGCGGTGTCGACGCCATGGCCCGGGCAATTGCGGTTGATATAGCAGCCCCAAACATTGACCGGGTCGTTGGGGCAAGGATAGCCGTTGGGTATGGCCTGGCCCTGCGCTGGCGTGCCGCCGTACCTATCAGCGCAGACGTTGTGGTCAAGGCAAATGCACACTCCGTCATTCCAAATGCGGGAGCAAGGCCCACCCACGGCGGCGAGGATGGGTGCTGGCAGGGAGAGGACGGCGAGAGTAGCAGTAATAGCGCTGAGCTTCATGATTACCAACTGTACCGTGTACAGGTTTCACTGCAAATAGGCAGGTAGAGAGGGCTGGCATGTGGGGAGAACCAGGAGCCTGCTATTCAAGTCCTTGGGACCATGATGTGATATATATAGAACTGGTTTGTCCCTCCCCGGTCACTCGCCTGGCATTAACTGCTTCTGGAGCTGAAGCTTTCTCCGTGTCATTGGTCAGAGAGACAAGTGAGCTTGATCTGTTCCTGGATGATTCATCATGCATCGGTCATACCGGAGGATAAAGCGGCCGATCGCAGACGAAGGTCCAGCGAATGAATGAAGGAGAGTTGAAGCCCTGTTGTGAAGCTAATCACTTTCATGCACACCGTCTTCCCCCTTTTCTTCTGTCTGCCTAATCAAGGTACGCCAGCCAATAACTCTATTCAAACCGAAAGCTTAGCGCGATCTAAAGGATGATCAGGAAACCCAGCTGAGCCCTGAAACTGTGAGTTAATAATAAGATCCATTGTCTTCCAATGGTCGGTATATGGCTTATATTTTCTTTATTTTATTACTCAACCTCCTTGGCTTATTTCGGCCCCCTTAATTTGAGTAAACTTCCCACTAACGTTCTACCCCCATCCAACCCACGGCGCTATGTTATAAGTGACATTGTAAATGGTACACCCCATAGTAGAGTAGAGGTCACTGTAGCTCCCATCCAACACACTCCGTAACCACGCAAACGCCCTCTGCCTCCCGTTGACGAGCTCCTGCGTATGAGTGCCGACCGTGTTCCGGTGGTACAAGATGTTGGCCCCGACGCCACAGAACCTGTCCACCAGCGCGTCCACATCCCTGATATCACTCAGCTCGTCGTGGATGGCATTGTACACAAACACGGGCATCCTCGGCACCCCATGGTACCCCATGTACCCGTCCACATTGTACATCATCTGCATGACCCGCGTGTGCAAGTCCGCATACCCACCCACGAAATACCCATAAATATCCTGATACCGAAACACCCTAATCGCCTGCGCCGCCGTCATCCTCCTCACACTCAGAAACACCTCCCTCACCGCCGGCTTCAGCCTCCCCACAATCCACCTCCTCGCCTCGGGATGCTGCGACGATATACCCAACAACCCCTGCGGAATCAGCCCCGCCCCCTCCCTCCCATTCAAGTACCCCGTCACGCTCGTCACATTCGGCGTCAGCCCGCCCAACGCAATCCCACTAACCCTCAACCGCGGCGCATACTGCACCGCCAACTCAGCCGCCCACTCCGTCGCGAGCGCACCACCACTGTACCCCCACAACCCCACCCTCGCCACCTCCACCAGCAGCCCAAACTCCCCCGCCACCTGCAGCACCGCGCGCACCCCGTCCAGCGTGGCATGCCCCGCCTGCACGCCCGCCGCGTAGCTCGCGCGCGGGCCCTCGTAGTCGGGGACCGCTACGAACCACCCCAGCGCCAGCGCGTCGCCGATCTCGCCGTAGGGGTCGCCCACGTGCAGCCCGTAGGAGGGGCTGGCGTCCGGGTTGCAGGTGTCGTAGGGGAGCTGGTAGGAGAGGAGGGCGTGCGCGCACCAGGGGGGCCGGGTGGAGGGCGGGGGTGGAGGGTGGCTGGGGATGGGGCAGCGGGCTTGTTGGCGCGGGATGAGGAGAGTCGTGACGTCCCAGGCGGGGTTGTAGTTGCTGTCGGTGGAGCGGTAGAGGAGTTGGTAGGCGCGCAGGGCGTTGCGGACGGTCAGGTTGAGGAGGGGGGCGCGCCGGATCTTGAGGACTTGCCCCGGGTCGGTTTGTGTCCAGTCGTAGGTGAGCGGCGGGCGGTACCACGGGTCGAGGCTTGGGGGGAGGGGGATGTAGTAGGATAGGGTGGTGGTGTCGAATACCGCGTCGGCTTCGTGGAGGAGCTGCTGGACAGTTTTGTTGTGAGGGGGGCTGTAAGGGGCGGCGGAGGAGGGGAGGAGAATGGTGCTCCATATGAGAAGAAATAGATCAGAGAGGGCCATTCTCAACGCTGGGCCATCGAGGCGAAAGTTCAAGAGGCTAGACCCCAGGACGATGAAATCTCCAGGTTGTAATAGGGAGACGCACACAATCAGCGACTGCGTTCATTCCATATTTCACGCCTGACCCCCACCCGGGTTGCTCCACGCTCATGACGAGGCCTCACATATGGCATGCGTAGGTTAATTACCCGGCTGTTTCCTTGTGCTTTGGGGCCCTTATAATTTCTCCGCTTTCGGAAGATCGACGGAACGGTTAATCAATTTGAGAGGATGGGCATTCGAAACCTTGATTAACAAAACTGAGATATAGACAAGGACAAGTGCCGTGGGTGAGTAGTACTAATGTGAAGTAGGTGGCCTGATATTGCTGGGCATGGGACGTCGGTCTTAGACACGGCATTTAAGCCAGTCATATTCCTCGACATTTCATCAGCTTTAACACACCGGCCGCTCGGAAATATTTGTTGGCCCCAGGGCATCACTTGGTACTACTAGTGGCAGAAACCGAGCATCAGTTCCCGTCACGCGTCTCTGGGCGTGGGCCTGCTCCCAAATTATACATCGTCTAAGTTTTCTCTCAACTACCTACCTACCCAAAGGTAATGAGAACAACATCGAGGACTAGTTATGTGCTTTTAATATATATAGCAGGTAGGTACCTATGATAACATCTCCTATCGAGATTAGCCCTCAGCCCCGATCCCATCGAATCGGAAGTCCCTCCCCCGACCTTCATGTCGTCTTACCTGCAAGATTGGTCGACACGTTTCGGGACGCGCATGTAAGTCTATGTGGTACGGTGGCCCGCCACGCAACAACCTGCTAAAAGTACCAAGCCTCCAGGTTGGCCTGGGCCCCTTGCATTATCAACGCAACCTTTGCTTCTGCTTGACGCTGTCACACACACATGCATTGAGATGGGGCACGCACCGAGATACGTTCATGTTAGACACCAGACCACCTACAGATGGATTAAGCTACCTACCTGCCTAGGTAGGCAAGGGAATCTAGCATGCCCTGCTCCCACTACCCACCTCACTCACCAAACCTCCTTACCCCTTGGGCCCAAACTGCAACTTGACGAGTCGGGCACAACTGGCCAGGCACCATCGCCGCCATTGGCGATATCAACCACATTGTCAATTGGCCCGTGCAGGGACACGGCCAAAAAGGGGGGTTACATTTCAGAACTGACATCTGTTGGGGGGAGCGGAACCCGGCACTTGACCTCGGAGCGCAAGAGCACTCATTAGCGAAAAGCAGGCCATTGGCTGTAGCCTACCGAAAGAGCGTTGAAGAGTTGTCCCACACCCCCATAGGCTCTGATGGAGGTAGCCGTAGGAGTGTAACTGTGGCCGCGGCAAGCGGTCAAACCTGTAACCGCGAGAAGCGCTCTAAGCTGTTTAAACCGGGCACCGAGCATCAAACCTCGCCCCTCCAAAAGAAGAGGTTGGTGCTTAGTATGTCTTGGGGTGCCGACTTATTTGGCAGACGTGTGATACACGTCAGCTCCGCTGATGCAAGGTGATAGCCTCAAGCACAAATAAGGTTACTGACAAGGAGCACGAGGTCAGTTGTGGGCGGCAACACAGACTGTGTCCGCTGGGTTCTGCCCAAGAAGAACACCTCAGAAGCTGGCATCGAACATTGGACTTGTTACCAGCGTTTAGGGGTTTCCCCGACTCCCCCGTCTCTCATTGGCATCCGGACTTGTAGTTCCCATGCAAGCACACATACCGTACTCTCAAGTTCTGCTGGAAGTTCTCTACGTTGTGACCTCTTCTCCGGTCTGTTGGTTTGAACTGCAACTTCCTAGTAGCCCGGGTTGCGTGCCGTGGAGCTTCTAGGGCCCATTTTCTCAAGAGGGCACTTCGGCAGTACCAACTCTTTGCATCTTGGCTTCGTTGTCCGGAGAGATACACTATCTATCAGACTGGCCCGTGGTGTCCTCGGCACCTACTGCCTCTCCGATGTCGCTCTTGTTTCGAAGACAACAACGGAGTCTTGAAGCAGGAGAACTCGCTGTATGCTCTCGGGCTCTCATCCGGGTCATCGTACAATGGTGGGCACTTGGAGGACAGTCTTAGGGTCGGGGACCCGTACCTCTCTCTGGATGGCGGGCCATCTTGGTCGAAGATCACTTTTGCCGTTAGGAAGGAGTTGTTGAGTATCGGAAACTGTGTCATCAAGATCCAACACAGGCGGGAGCCAGGAACTTCCATCGACCTGCTTATGAACGGAACCAAGATTGAGGCCGACTACGACAATATCCCAACCGACTCCTTTGGCATATCCACTTTCTCTACCCAACTACTCCAGAGCAACGAACTTGTTATTAGGCCTAAGGGGGGGTTGCGTATTTCATCTCCGATGTCAGCCTTGATGTAGTTTCCCTCCTCCCGGACGTGTTCGAGACAAACTTCAGAGCTTACGTCAAGGACTGGATTCTCCACAAGCGGAGTAATATCGCAGAGCTCTGCAAGATCCCTCGAGAGGACTAGCTGGCTTGGCAATTCCTCAAAGACGGGAGGCAGCCTACTGGTTCTTTCTCCCGTTTCTCCCCATCTCGCCCGAAGAGATCAGCGTCCTCTTCAACTACTTCAACATGATGTTCGTTTCCGTGGCGTTCGAGATTACTTAGGGATCTCAACAACAAGGCTAGGGATTTCCACAGGGAGCTCATCAGCACCGATCTCCCCCGGGAGAACGCCCTCAGGCATGCGTACTGGACCTATGCTCTCCCGGCGATTTGGTCTATTTTTCGCCCTCGATCTCTCGACAGTCCCGACCATGCTCGAGTCGGTGACTGCCCTGGAGCGGCAGCGTGCACGCACCTGGGCGTACATTGATGACTCGCACGGTGGTCGGGGCTTTATCGATACCGATGATGAAAAACCTGTTCTGTTTATTGTTGTTGTCGGAAGATCGTATCATATCGTGGGTATTCGCGACTCCCTTCTCCTTTGTCGTGGCTGGGACCTCGTCGGCAACGGGTTTCGAATCGCTGTTTACGACCCATCGCTCTAGTCACCAGAACGAGAGTGCTACCACAGGCGAGGCCGAGACTCGCACCACGGGGCCGGAGATGCAGTCAGCTTTGATCGTTCTGCCCAAGTGTTGGCCAAGTACATGTACGCAGGGTTGAGTTGAAGCGACGCCTCGACTCGTGTTTTTTCTCCCCCAACCAAGAACCGCCTAACGGAGTCCCTGCACTCAGTCTGCCAGTGTGCGAGTTCCTTGCCGACCCCGACGTCTTCAGAGACTTCGGATTTGAAACGTCACCCCGCTAGACGACGCTTTCCACGAATACGCTGACAAAGTGTCCTGACATCATCTCGATCAACACGTGGACCTCGGACCCGAGTCTGCTCCATTGATGGCCCCGAAAGCAGCGGGTTGTGCCAAATGACTCCGTCGTTCGGCTGCTTCTTAACCGTGGTGACCATGTCGACCTGTGACGGAGGCCGTCATACCCCGCTCGTTGCCGCAGCTCGAGGAAAACATGATTCCACCGTGCCCTTGGTTCTCGTCTCTCGGCGTGCGACGTGTTCTCACAGGGTAGTCAGGGCAGGACGAGCCTGCGCTTCGGCTACTTCTAGATCAGGTGGGAGAGGGAAGCTCGTTGGGGTGGTGACCCCAATCATGGTAGAACGTGGATAGAAGATCGTCAAACAAGTTCGACCATCCCCGACGACAATTGTCACAGGTCCAAGGTGCCTAAGAGCCGAAAAGGAGACCCCTTGCAACAAACACAGGGGAACATGGCGGTATGCTACCGGCGCCTTTTATCTGGGAGACGGTGAGCCTGCGAGCAGGTCGCATTGTCAAAATACGGAAAAGCATCCCATGGTCCTCTCGAAGGATTACGAAATTCGCGGTCCGGGCGGAGCTCGCTTAATGACGATGAGGGTATGATTGGTTCTTGTTTGCCGATCCCCGGTGATACGAGCGTTGAGTCTCGTATTGAGCTGGTCAGTTGACCGAGGTGGCATCTACCTTGGTGTTTGCATTGACAACTTACGAGCAGTGTAGTATGCCTTCTGAGTGATGACGGGGAAATATGCCAGGTACGATGGTACACTGCAGAACACGTCGCACTCGCCAAGATTATTGATGATACCTGCTCAGCCGGTGAGATGCAAACATACATCATACATGTCAAGTAACTGCCTATAAAGCTAGCTCTTCTGTGCTGTTCGGCGCCTTGATCTCTGCTCTCCATTCCAACGCTGTCACCTATTCAACCCTTCAAACCTTCTATCAACTGATAAATTTCTAGACGTCCCAGTATCGTCAAGTCACAATGAAGTTCTTCACAACCGCCCTGACCGCTGCCCTCGTCGCTACTGGCGCCTCTGCCCAGCAGGCCGTCGTCAAGAACAACTGCCAGACCACTGTCTACGTACAATCTTTCCCGTACGACGGCAGCGCCGCTGGCCCATTGACCACCCTCGCACCGGGAAAGTCCTTCACTGAGGACTTGCGCCAGTCCGGCTCGGTTAGACTTTCCTCGCTTAAGAATTGGGAGATGAAACCGGTGCATACTAACAAATCGTGCAGACCGTCAAGGTTGCGAAGACCAAGACCTTGAGCACCCCGCTGTTCTTCGGTTACTCGTTCAGCTCCAACCCGGACTATGCCTACTGTGAGTACACGATAGGTGTTCCTTGAGATTGTCGCAGTCAAGCTAATATACCTTTTCTAGATGAGCTGAGCACGTACGTTAATCAAGCTTGCATGAGTTGTCTTCATGGATAATTGCCTGTTACTAACGTACTCGACTTTAGACAATGGGGCAACCCGTTTGCTGACAAGCACAACGTCCTGACCCCTGGAGACGGCTGCGAGTTCTTTGACTGCGCTGCCAACGATGCCAACTGCTACAGCAAGCCGGGTGCGAGCAAGGTCTATGGATGCCCACAGCCTGTTAACCTGGAACTGGACCTTTGTGTCTAGATTGGCCGCCTCCGGAAGGAGGAGGATGCCGTTCTACACCTGTCTACAGGTCGATAGACGCGCTCGCGGGACTGGAAAAGCAAGGATTCTGCTGTAATAAGTCTGAAGCTGGAATAATGAAAACAGAAACCACTACCTTGCTAGATGAATCCGACCCGCAGCTCTTCTCGTCCCTAACCCCAGTGCTGAGTGCAACGAGTCGAGGCCGCATTGCCAGGGGAACCTACAACACAGCTATATGACGGACTATGGAAGGGAGATGGTGTGCTCGTTCAACCCAGAATATGGCGTCGCCGAGTGAAGCGTTGCTTCACATATATATGTCAAAGTGGTGCTCATCCTCTTTGGAAGTGTATCTGACTTCATCCTCGGTCGAACCAACCTGTGACCAGCGCTTCAGTGACTTGCTCAGATCTCATATTAAACTACCAAGGAACAAAGACGGCGCTGCTAGACATTCGGTTTCAACATTGGGTTCCATCTCCCTGGATTGAGAGTGGAAAGCAGCGGGATACTACCCGAAACGATTTATTTGGAGCGGGGTCAAGGGGTGATGCGTCGTTCCAACTTTTCAGGCTGGCCACAACTTGACATGTTTCCGGCTGTTGGCAGAATAATGGTTGTTGAACCAACAACGGCCGCTAATCAGCCAACACTGATGCCGTTTCAAACCAACATGCAGGGAGAGCCCTGGGGCTCCTCAAACTCTGGCATCAAGCCGAAACCAAACCGCAGGATGTCCGTCGGCGAGGGACCCGTCAACTGATACATCTCACGACTGACAATTATGATGACGTCGGCCGGCTAGGACAGAGCCACAATTGCAACTAGAGACAGATAACAACGATTCGCAAAGGTGGAGATTGCGAGAAGTCGTCAGGACAAGCAAGCACGACAACCCGAATTCCATTAAAGTATAGAACTATCTATATACAAGAATCGAAAAGCAGGGGTATGTATCACACCCCGTTATCAAATCCGAGCCGTGATACATTCCACCCACCATATTAAAAACGCACGCTTGAAATCATTCCCTCATCACATCTAGCGGACAAAGAAGCATGTATGCATGTGCCCTCCCATCCCATCCAGACTCCCACCCCAAGTTTCCAAGAGGCGGGCAATCCGGTCAATCAACCATCAGTTTAGCTACCTCCCTTTACAGGAAAGCAGCAAAGAGAGCGGCGATGGCAGCAATGGTGCTGGCGCCGCGGACGGCACGGCCGGCACCGGCGGTGACGGGGCCCGAGGTGGTGGGCTGGGCGACCTCGTCCGAGGTGAAGGCAGTGGAGAGGGTAAGGACAGGGGTGGGGATGTCGGAGGGGTTCTCGGTCGGCTGGGGACCCTCGGGCTCATCGGTCTCAGTCGGCTCAGGGCCCTCAGGCTCATCAGTCTCGGTCGGCTCAGGGCCCTCGGGCTCGTCGGTCTCGGTCGGCTCCGGACCCTCCGGCTCATCAGTCTCGGTCGGCTCCGGGCCTTCGGTCTCGGTCGGCTCCGGACCCTCGGGCTCGTCGGTGACAGGGCACACGGTGGTGGTGACGATGGTCTCGGTGGTGACGGTGGGGATGCCGCCGCCGGGGCAGTTGGTCACCGAGGCGGAGCACGAGGTGATGGTGCGGGTGGTGGTGGTGGTGATGGTGCTGGTGGTCCACTGGGTGGTCGAGGTCTTCGGTGGGCTCAGGGCCCTTCGGTCTCCGTCTCGGTGGGCGGTGGCACTCGTCGTCACCGTCAATCGCTGGTGGTGGGTAGGCTTCCGGGGCCTCGGTGGTGGGCTCAGGACCCTCGGTCTCGGTCTCGGTGGCGGTGCACTCATCATCATCATCATCGCTGGTGGTGGTGGGCTCGGGGGCCTCGGGTAGTCGTGGGCTCAGGGCCCTCGGTCTCAGTGGCAGTGCACTCGTCGTCACCATCATCGGTGGTGGTAGACTCGGGGGCCTCGGTGGTGGTGGGCTCAGGGCCTTCGGTCTCGGTCTCGGTTGCGGTGCACTCATCGTCACCATCATCGCTGGTGGTGGTAGGCTCCGGGGCCTCGGTGGTGGTGGTCTCGGGAGCCTCGGTCTCGGTTTCAGTGGCGGTGCACTCGTCGTCATCATCATCGCTGGTGGTGGTGGGCTCGGGGGCCTCGGTAGTCGTGGTCTCGGGAGCCTCAGTGGTGGTGGCCTCCTCAGTCGAAGTGGGCTCCTCCGGCTCCTCCGAGGAGGTGGGGGGTGGGCTCCCCAGAGGTGTGGGTGGCAGTGTAGGTGATGCACGAGCAGGCGGAGCTCACAGCCTTGACGTCGCCGTCGCAGTTGCCGAAGTTGGTGGGGATAGCCGCAGCCTCGGTAGTGGTGGCGGCCAGGAACTCCGGGCACCACGAAACAGCCTCATCAGCGAAGCGGGGGTCGATCAAGTTGCGGTAGCAGTTGTCCGACTCCTGTGTTTGAGTTAGTATCTGGTGGGTATACGATAACAAGCAGGCTTGACTAACGCAGTTGGGGTACTCGTGGGCGCTGGCGAGGCCCAGGGCGAGAGCGCCCAGAGAGAGAGCGGTGGTACGCATGTTGGGTTTTTTTTTTTTTTTTTTTGAGCGAATGGACTTGCAAAATGCAGATGAGTCTAAGCGAGAGACTAGAGAACCCGAAGGTGTATTAAGGTATATATACACGTATACGTGGTGGTGAGAGGGAGAAGGGGAGGACCGAAGGGGGTACTCGAGGCGACTCCAAGTTTTATATGATTCACAGATCGAGATCTCGCTGCTGGGGTGCGGCGCCCATCAATGGGATGGGCCGATGGCGAACCCTGGTCAGCGACAAAGGGCAAACCGAACCAGCGGGAATGAATACGAGATTCACAGCTCGATGCGGCGCTGTTGGGCGCTGGGCAACCGACTAGGGCCGCCACCCACCCACATTGAGCCACCCACCAGCGAGCCACCACGGCAACACGGCCACCAAGGGAGCGCTCCACAGTGACAGCAGGATGGCAGGCTAAACCCCAAGAGAGCTTGGACCCATTCACGATGGTGGCCAGGAAGCCAGTCAACGGCCCTCCGAGGAAGCCCTTGCATGGGCGTGGTGGAAGCGGGGAGATTGCGGGAGTAACCTGAGAGTAACGTCGGACGCGACCAGCGCTGGAGAAGCGCAGGACTGCAGCTCGAAGTGGGAGGGTGGGTGGCAATCGAGCCGTGTTACCTCGCCCGAGTACCCCAAGCCACAAGCCGTCAGATCCGAACTAGTGACTCTGCTAGTCCACGGCGGGAAAGTGCAAAAAATGACAGGAAAGCCAGGAACCGCCCAGAAAACACAAAGGATTGGGAATGGTGGAGCCTGGAGACCAGCGACCCTCAATGATTCCACAACGGCGTTGCCGAGTCACGGGAAAGAGTGGCCGAACGGCCCTGCTTTTCCTTGCCTAATCTCAACTCTCCACGGCTGTGCTCCTGCGCTCACGATGGGCAAGCGTGGGCCTGTCGAAGTTTCTTCTCCTTGCCCACGATGAGAAAGGCGCCGACCTGCAGCCCGGTGGCCACTCAAGTGAGACCACATGCACCCAACCACCTCGCATGGTGTGGCTCGGCGGGGATTGATTGGCTCAGACCCTGCTGCCCATCAACAAACCCTGGAAACGATCTCTCTGTGACGGAAACCAGGAAACCGTCAAAAAGATGCGATGCATGCGATGCATGCGATGTCATCGGATGGGGTTTTTGACTATTGAAAAAATCCGGATGCAACACGACACCACCTTGTTGACGTCGACATCTCGGTCTTCCTCGGGTTTGGGGGATTGGGGATTGGGGATTGGGGGATGTTGTTGGTCTTTTCTTTTTCTCGTGTGCGTGCATGTGTGCTTGCTTATCTCCCCTCTACACAGTACACGATGCGCAAAAATAGATACACTTTTCTCAACGCCTGAGAAGAACATTAAATCTATCTCACAATGTGGTAACACAGAGACTGGCCCAGTATGGGATTCAACGGCACCGTGCAGATTGCTGACACGGGCGGCCGGGCTCCTGAATGCACCGCTGCTGATGTGCCCAACCCCTACATGACGGCTCAAGTTTGCCCTGTCGCGGAGGGGTGCCACTCAAACACAATCCTCTTCTCAACTGGGTCAAAAATCTACGGAATTTATCGGTCTTTGTCACGAGTGTGTACCTGCAGACGGCAGCGCAGTTTGGTTTCCCCGACTTCTTGGCCACATCATGCCTCGCGAATGCGGACCAGGACAAAGATCGGAATCTCCTGTAGGGCAACACAGACCAAGAAAGCCCAGGAGCCAAGCTCGCTGGTTTGTTGAGAATCGGCCGGTCCTTCCGAGCTGCCGCCCACCTGGCGGGTCATCGGCCTTGGCTGGCCGATGTGCCTCAGACCATAAAATCCTCTGTTGATTCCATTCAACCGGATGCCCTGCTTCTCGAATCCTAGGCCCGATGGACTCATACATTCCTATTTCGGAAAACTGATTGTATGTATGGATATGATTTCACGCCCGTTCACATCTCAAGGGTGCCAGTTGTTGGATTAGCCACATAGGACTTTCTGGCGGATACCAGCTATTGAACAGCCATGGCACCGGAAACAGCCATGGCACCGGAAACGGTCATGACACCCGGAAACAGTTTTCATGGAATTTTGTCAGCACAAAGACTCGGGTTAACCCAAGAAGACAAAGGAAAGATTTAGGATAAAGCCACTTGCTCTATAAAGAACCTCTGAGAAGCGGTGGAAGAAGATCAATCAATTCTCTCTCCCCATCTTTCCATCTGAATGTCGTTTCCAACACCAGTTGGCTCGGCTGGGACTCGCATTGTCCAGTCAACAAACAAGGAAAATGGTCACTCACGGCTTTGGTTCGAGGACTCGGAAATAAAAGAATTTATAGACGCACGTGTGCTCCCGAGGTTGCCTAACTACCTAGTAGG